CGTGGACTAGATCAGTGATTTTCAGTTTTTTCCATCTCATGACACGGCACACATAAACTAATTACTAAAAGTCTGTAGCACACCACAAGATACATTTTTGGTTGATCTTACAAAAAAATAGGTATAATTTTGGTTCATTCACATCAAACAGCTACCATAGGGTTGGCTGTTGTTAGTTCTTTCATGTAACAATCTACGGGAAGAGAGGTCAGTGCCCCTTCTCCAGTAGTTGAAAATCACTGAACTAGTGAACACAGAATGACGTAGACTTAATTCTCTGCACCTTTTGCTCGTCAGACTGTCTTCACCTCTTCAGCTATCTTACCCAGTTAAAGATAACAGAAATGAAAACAAACCCACCTCCTAGTCAGGACACACACGGGCTCAAGGATTTCTATACCGTTCTCTTGCCTGAAAAAGCCTTCCTAATCTTCTGGTAAATTCCTACTCAAAGGTCACCTCCTCCCTGAAGCTCACCCTGATCTCCTCTCTCAGAGTCAGCCCCTCTGTGCTCCTGTGGACTCCTGAAGGTGTTGTCCAGAGGAAACTCCACGCCTATGCTGTGGTTACTTGTCTGCTGGCCTGGCTCCTCCCCCAGAAGAGGGAGGGGTCTCTGAAGGCAGGGCTTTAAGTTTCATTGTGGTCTCCCCAGATGCATGTGTGTTTGGTGCCTTGTTGTAGCTGCGGTACCTACTCCAAGGGCTAGAGCAGGGCTGGTTCTCAAGGGACAGTTGACGAGTGAACACATCCAGGGTTCTCTTTTCCTCTCCCCATGCGTCCCTTCCCCTCAGTGTAGACATTAGGCTGCACACTGTGCAGTAACCAGAAGTGTCCATGACTCCTAATAAACACTCCAGTGGCTATTTAGGTCATGGCCACACCAGAAGGACTGTAATATAATTGCCCTCCGATTTGGTAGAGACTGGAAGGCAAGATAAAAAAGAGTCGGAAGACAAGTGCTTAGGAATGGCGGCCTTGGCTCTGCCCATTGTGAATCACGCGGCCCTGGGCACGCTTATTAACCTCTCCCATCCTCAGGGTCCTCCTCCACAAAGGAATCACGATGACTGCGCATACCAGTCAAAGTTCTGGAGACATCAAACAAGATCCTGAGTGCAAAGCACAGAGTGGAGTGCCGGGCACGTGAGCAGGCTCGTTAAATGCCAGCTCTCATGGTTAGCATCGGGAGTGGTCTCCGCATTTTATTCATAATTAGTTCGATAGACCAAGGTCAAAGAACCGCCACTTCGGTTCTCTGAAGGTTCTCCTCAGGTGCTGATCTGAGCGAAGGTAGGACATTCACGTTGCCTGGCACGTGAGTGCTCCCTGTAATCCTTCGCTGACTGCACAGTGACAGTCACATCAGACACACGGAAGGTCTGCCAAGGAGCCGGCAAGTGAACTGAGTGTCTGTTCATGGTGCCGCTGACAACAGCTACAGACAGATACTTGGCCTCCTTCTCCACAGTGGCCTACATCCCAAAATAGGAAGCCTGCACGCACAGACAGACCCAGCAGGCCCAGGGGTTAGCAGGCAGGCTGCCTGCGCTCCGAACTGTCAGGGACGACGCAGAGCCAGGTGAGCCGTCACCCGGCAGCTCTTCGGAATTGACTTCTATGCAAATGAAAGATAATTGGGTAACTTGTGACCCGATGCCCCTGTGGATGACCCCTCAGGAGGGTCTCAGGGAGTGCATGCTTCTCATGAGCATCAGGACAAATAGTCTGTGCTCCAGGCCACTCGTGTCTGTGCTCCAGGGCCCCACGGACAGCCCAGCAAGACAGCAGGTAGCAGAGGCCCTAGCCTGTGGTCCATGCAGGTGATTTCTCCCCGGCTCCGAGGAGCTACCCAAGTGAGAAAACTGTGCCGGGAGTGGAGGCTCAAGTGAACCCATCCCCCGAAATCAGCCAGAGAGTGAGCTATCCTGTAAGCCCAAACCACTTCCCCGCCGTTTGTTAGCAGTCGTCCTGTTTTTTCTCTCCCCACAGTGCTCTCTTTCTCTCCCTTCCTACTTGGATTTTGAGTGCTTCACACAAAGCGACTTGACCGGAAGTTCTTTCAGGAAGGTTTTTTCTTCTATGTCCAAGTGTGACATGTCACAGGGACCTGCTCCAGAGACACGGGTGTGGTAAACTAGAGATCGGGAGTCTGGGTCACGAGCCAAAGTTGTTTTGTTTTTTTCCAAAAACCTTACAGTATGATAAAACACAAGTCCTTTCCTTCTTCCAGGGGGGGAAAAATCCCTCTCTGTAAGGTAAGAATCTTATCCTGAAAGATCAAAAGGCCATTCCATCCATCCCATGATGTGGTTTTCTGTTTTGTTTTTTGCTTTTCTTTAAGGGTCCTCCAAAGCATTACGAGGGTTTACCTTCCTCTCCTTGAAATGAAAGCTATGCAGAACTCCTCAAAATAGGCTTAATTTCTAAGTAGAAAAATAAACCTAGCAGATTTCCTAGAAGAGAAATCAAATTCAAGTACTTTCTGTTTCACTCCTGACTCTGTTTCATTGATACCTCACTCTAATTGTCCCTATTATCTAGAAAAACAGGGAGTGTCAGCCACATGTCGTACTGAGGGATTGAAAGGACTGATGAAATGAAGAGACCCATTTGGCTTGGCAGAAATGAGATGCTCGCCATTCACAGGCATTGCCACGGAAGGGACTCGTTGCATCTGCTGAGCCCGGCTTCAGAGCTCATTTCAGAGCAAATGAGTGCAAGACATGCTAATGCAGGAGGAGTCAGCCACACAGTCTCCACATCTAATTGGCGCATTTGCAGGGAAGTGCGGCTCTGCTTCCGTGAAGAGCATTTTCATTCACTGGTTTATTCCCTTCACACACACTGAGCAGAGCAGGGAAGGAAGGCCAGGGGTTGGGGGGAGAATCCCCGGGCTGAACTTCTGTCCCCAGACAGACCCACATTAAAAGTAAGAGTGTAGAACGCCCGGGGCATCCATCCCCAAGGGCTCCTGGGTCCCAGTCACAGGGATGACCACCTACATGTGTGAGTGTGAGCGGTAGCAAAAGCCTCAGGCCTTGCGTAGAAGAAACGGTTTTTGTCAAGAATGTAGCCAATTCATTCAGGGAGAAGGCAAGAGAGGGGAGTGATAAAAGATAGAAGCTCGAATCAGACTTCCCAAGAATAAAAAATTTCTTGGGGACAAAATGTGGCCGTAGGCAAGTTCCTCATCTTCTCCAAAGCTCGGTGTTCTCATTGATAAAATCTTGGATATTAACAGTGCCTGTCATGTTAGGCTTTTGCAAGGATTAAGGGAGGGGATACCTTTTAAGACCTTCTGTGCCTCGCATACAGTAAGCACTTAATGCCTGCTAGCTGCCACTATTGTGACTTTTCCTCTGTGGTAACATTAGTCCCCCTTCCTCATCTTGTGAGCAAAATATACTCAAAGTCTACTCATAGGTTTAATAAATATTTGTTGAGAGCTCATTCTGGGTGAGATCCAGTGCTGGCAGCTGGGAGCACGGTGGTCCCAGAGTCAGCTCCTCCCCCCACAACCTGCAGGTCTAGCTGGGAAGACAGACAACTAAACAGACAATTACAGCCCAATGTGGAAGCCGCAGTAAAAGGTCTGATCTCTGACTCCTGATGTGTTGTCTAGCAGACACCCAGAGTTCAGCCTTAGGGATCAGAAAGAACTTCTTAGAAATAGTGAGGCCCATGGCAAAAATTTAAAAAAAAATGAGTAAGACTTAGCCTGAAAGGAGAGAGGCGTACGGGGTTTGGGACGGTGGCGGTGGTGCCGTGTGGTGGATCCTACAGCTGTGCGTACAGTGAGAGTACAGGCTGTGCAGAGAGTGCCTGAGAGACGGGCTTGGGCAGCAAAGCGTGGCCCCATCCTTGCAGGGCCCTAGACGCTGGCTGAGGATGCAGACCTCTGTCGCTGAAAGGGACAAAGTGGGGAAGTAACATAACATCTGGGCTTAGGGACATTGTCAGGTCACACATGGAAGACGGCTCCTACTGGAGCGGACAAGGCAGCAGTGACCCCGAAGCAAAGCAGACCTGTTAGGTGGCCGCTGCAGGCATCTGGGAGGAAGTGGGTTTGGTTTACATTTGAATGGTGATTGTGGGGGTAGAGAGAAGCAAGAACATCCCAGAGACAGTCAGAGAGCAGAATCCAAAGGAATCAGTGGGAAGAGACTGCTGTTCGAGGTGAGGGATTGAGAGGCACATGGGATTCCTGCCGTGTGCCCATCCGATCTGGGGGACCAGGACACGGTGAAGGTTCTGAGGAGGGAATCATGACTTGTATTTGCAATCAGGTACTTCAGGCACCTCTTGGGCATCCGTGTGGAAATGAGCTGCAGACATTTCGATGGGTAGGTCTAGAACCCTAACACCTGGAAAGTCATGCTGGTATAACTATTTCTTAACTTTTTATCCAGACATTTGGACATTCTGTAAAAAAATAGCTAGTTACCACCAAGCAGAAGAAGAAGTAAATGGATTCATGGATGCCTAAAACATAAGAACTGTGAGAACGCCTAGACCAGCCCCTTGTGGCCCAGGGAAGACTTCATTCACCAAAGGGCGCACGGACAGGGAGCGGCGGAGCTGGGCCTCGCGGCTCTCGGTGCAGTGCTTTGTCTTTTGAGGTCCGATAGGGTCAGCCTGCTAGCATCCCTTTTCCTTTTGGGATGGAAGCTGCCTCGTTCATTTCTTAAAGAATTCTTTTCAAAAGAACGAAGGGGGTAAATACCAACAGGGTCCAACTAAAGAATTACAATCCCCTTTAGTTCCTTCCTCTCTGAACCTTCCATAGTAGGCTTTCTACTGGCACGTAATAAGGCGTTCAACAGAGAGAACCCAAAACAACAGTAAATAATCCCATCCCTCCAAGCCCAAGGAAGGAGGCCTGCTCCTCTCTCAGATTCTGTTTTGGATTTGGTGAAGGTTCGAACCAAGGCAGGTTTGAAGGCTAGACCTCCACGTACTTGGCAGCATTTGAACTGTTCAGTAACATCAGCTCATCTTACCTTCTTCACCCATTGGACACTTGCTGCCAATTTCTGAAACGCACTCCACCCATCTGATTGGTCACGCAACAAATGGCGACGGGAATGATTGACACGGGGCCACTTCACCAACAATACAGTAATGTCTGCAAGAAAGTGAAAGGGTCATTAGTAGCCTAGATTTAACACTAATAAAGTGATGTACTACGAGACACAGGTGCACGTAAGACAGAGTTTTCTCTTAGAAGACAACAGCCCAGGTGCGGGGAGAGGGGTGTAAGCAAATCGTCACAATCATGTGCAAAGTGGGTGAAACTGGCCGTGGATCGGAAGGTGCCACAGGGTGGGGTGATTAGCCATATGTGCACTTGGTACTTGAATTACAATAAAAGCAGTCACACGTCCAGCTCCTTGTCGTGTGCTGTGTACTTCACATGCATTTGCTACACAACTGGCAACACACCTGGCGGGGGAGAGGAAGTCTCAGAGCCTGTCTCTGACAGACCCCACATGTTATCGGAATCCAGACGAAGTACCTTCCTTCCCGCAGAGGGAAGGGCCCTTCCGCTATTGCCAGATCCTTGTAGAAGGATAGGCTCAAGGGCAAGGAATGGCAGTGGTGACAGTGGTGGCAGCGGTGACAGGAGATGCTGTGCCCGGGCTAGCAGGCCAGAGCACTGGGCTGATGGAGCTACAATCCTTTATCGAGACTGCACCCCCACTCCCGGCGCTAACCCTGACTCCGGAGCCTGCGTGGGGGCTGTGTTCCGCCTGGATTCTGGTCTGAGTCATCTTCGTACCTCCCCATGTGTCTAACACACTTCCTAGCCCAGAGCAGCTGCTCAATGTATATCTGCTAAATGAATGAAGAGAAGAACACGGCGTGTCGGAACAGCTGCTGTCTCTGAAAACTGAGGCACTGAACCACGGGAGGCGGCAGCTGTCGTAGCTTCCCTGACATAAGCGTTAAGGATTTCTCGAATGTCCTTCATCTCTAGAGCGTCTACCTTCTAGGATCAGCTCCGCCTGCATTAAGGGCTTAAACAGCTTCTTGCTTTGACTTTATTTATCATAACTGTTTTTTTTTTCAAAATCCACTTTCCCTTGTCTCATCTCGGTTTCACCTAACAGCCCCTCACATACGGTACCTTCTCCAAAACAATGACAACAAAACAACCCAGCGGCGGCGGCAGCAAGCAAAAGCCCGTCTCCATGAAGGGCTGAAGATGAATGGCGAAGTCCAAAACGTGCTCGTCACACCGTGCTTCTGTGGCTGAAGCAAGAACAATGAAACCGTTCTACCGTGGGCTAGCCCCAGCACGCCAAGGACCGAGTGGCACAGAGCTTACCTCCCGGTGCACAGAGTCACGGGGAAGAAGCCTCCTGGGGCGGTTCACCTGGCACAGAACCAACGAGGAAGGGCCCTGCTCCGCAATCCTGGGACATGCTGTCGCTGGTGAGCCATGCCCCTAGCTATTCATGCCCTTGTGCTGTCCCCTTCCATGGGACTCTGACCCCAGGTAACCGATGAAACACGGCACAAGGGAAACAACAGGATCTCAGAGGCTGAGTCTTAAGAAACCCTGCAGCCTGTGTGGTGCTCTCGGAAGGCTTGCTCTGGGAGAAGGCAGCTGCCACGTCAGAAGTCTGAGTCCTCCAGCCCTCCATGCTGTGGGGGAGCTCAGCTAGCCACGTGGAGAAGCCACGCAAACAGAGAGACACCCAGTCACTTGTAGCCATTTCAGGGCGTCCCAGCTGGGGTGCCAGGTGCAGTGTGAAGATGCCATCCTGGACATTCGACCCCTTCAAACCTTCACGTGACTGCAGCCACCTGACCACCCAGCCTGACAGACCCTGCCCAGATCCACCCCGACGAGTTCACGCGACTCGAGCATAAGAGATAATAAATTGTTTTTTGATAAGCATTTTCAGGTGGTAAGTTACTCAGAAGTAAATACCTAAAACAGTACAAAGCGAAGTGAAACAGACATTCTGTGCTCTCTTTAACTACACATAACCACTCTGAGCATCATGAACTCCATCTCACAGCTCTGCCCCACGGGGTAAGACGCTTGCCCAAGGTCAAGAGTTCAGTCAGTGACAGCCAACCAGAGTTCAGCAGTGCAGAGGTCACAGTCTGTTTCTTCTGTTTTCCTTCTCCAGACAGTTAATAATATAACTGTACCTGTAGCCAGTGTGTTTTTAGAAGTTTGCTTCTCAAATCTATAAAACCTAAGTGAACTCCCACTTTGCCTTGCATTCTTTCCCTCCCTGCACATTGTTTCTTTATAGAATTCCTCTCACCAAAAGCCTGCAAAGACAATTAAGAGCTTTGGAAGGAAGGCGAAGCTGGATGGGGGAGCTGTCTGGGAGCTCTGCAAACGCTGGCGAAAGAGGAGCTACGGGTCCTGGGGAAAACAGTGGTATGCAACGACACCATGTTTCTCAGGGAAAAAACGAGCATAAGAAATCTAAGCTGTGTTTGTGCTTTTAGCAGAACTGATGGGGAGAAAGAGATCATTGGGTGTCTGCAGTCCTTCTCTTTCTAAACAGGCGTTTCTGGTTGGAATGTTCATGTCCGCTCTTCTCCCTGCATCTTGAGACTCCCTGAAACCTGGAGTCGGGTGTTGCCTTCCGGGCGTGTGACTGTGGCAGGCTTCTCTTGCTGGGTTCCGATGCCACGAAAGGCTTGGCACACACAGGGCTGGAAGTACACGCGAGCTGGATCTAAAAGGTCCCCACCCCACGACTCCCTCAGGGCGTGGCTCAGGGTCCTCGGGCCACGTACCGTGCACAAACTGCTGGTACAGGTGTGACACAGGGTGACGGGTTATAAAGGAAAGAACTGCCCCCAAGGGGAGCTGGGTGGCCCAAGGACACAGTGACAGCTTTGTTTCACAGATGGAGAAACTGAGGCTCTGTGGTGAATGCCCCAGCGTGTACAACGGAAGCACTGCAGCTGGACTGAATCCCTCACTAGTCCTCCCCCACCCTCTCCCACCAGCTTTCAGAACCCACCGCCAGTCCCACCTGCCTGCGTAAATCACACACCTTGTCCCCTGGTTTGCGTCCACAGATAATTTCTACTTTTTGGCCTGACAACACAACAGGGAATCTCAGGCATTTTGGTATGGAGTTGACTGAAAAATGATCACTAAATATGTTACCTATTAAGAAAAAACAATGAAACACCAACTTTTTTAAACTTCCGTTAGGCAAAGAAGTCTAGCCGAGGCACACATGTCTCCGTCGGCTGAAAAGTGCCGAGTCATTCTGCTGCGCTGCTGAGTTTCCCTCGCTCAGCAGACAGACAGGAGGCAGGCAGCAGGCGCAGGGGCGGCAGACCCCGGGCGCCCTGCAGGCGGGGGCTGGTCCTTCTGGGGGTGCCCCACGTTGCCGATCTTGTCAAAGGGGTGAATAAGCTCAATTAATAATCAGCACCGCATGTTTTTCTTGCCAGTTACCAAAAGCCATATGGTGAAGCATATTTTGTGAGAGAGGTTTATAGATTACAATGTTTTGTTTCTTTTTGTTTTAAATGGGGGAAGCAGTAAGCTTTGAATGTCAGGGAGCAGGACTTAAATTCCATGCTTTGCCTCTTCCAAGCCATGTGGCTTTGGGCAAGCACGAACCCCTGGTGCTTTGGTTTCCCACTATGGAAAGGGCATCGTGATTGTTTTGCAGGATTATTGGGAGGCACAGGGAGAATACATGCCATCCCTCACCCCCACGAGGCACTCTAGAATCAGTAGCTGCGGTTACAGAAAGACACAGACTGTGCTTTTTCTCATTTGTGCATGCATAACACATTAGTTTTACCTTTTATTGTATATCTGATACACAGGCATTTACACAGAATTAATATTCACATATTTGCCTGTACTCGTATGCAACCATGTAACTCATCTTAATGTGTACGTATTCTCCACACCATTCTTTTTCCCGATGAGGAAACTGAGCCCCCAAGTTCACCAGCTCAGCTCAGACCTGTGACCCCCGCTGGGAAGTGAGGAGCTGCCGGCTGCCCCGGGCTCACGCCTCCCTGCCAAACCTCCGAGGCCTGCACTACTCACGGGTGCAGGCGATGCCAGAGGCCTGCCTGTAATTACAAGAAAACATCCATAAAGAGTTTCTGGGCTCCAAATGGATCTGACAGAGTGGCCCTTTAAGTCCAACTCTTAACACGATTATCTCTATTTCTCTGCAGTAGTTTCTCTAAGTAAGCCATGCCTTTAGAGGCACCTAATACAAAGTGACAACCTTCACCAGTTCGCAAAGCACCGAAGGACGGAGGACGGGCGGAGGGGGAGTCCATTGTCACCATGGTAATTACCGCACAATACCTGACGGCTAATGGACAGTCAGGAGGCTCAGGCAGCAGCTGAATCCGGCATTGTCCGGGCCGATAAAGAGATGAGAAGCCCTGAAAAGGCAGGGAGCGGGGTCTCACAGCTCTGTTGCCGGGCCCTGAAAGGCCCATTGTCCTGCCACCATAAATCCTGGGTTCCCCGGGCACTTGACAACTGAAGCTGGGCACAATGGAATTCCTGTGTCCAACACCACACTCCTTGTCCGACGCCAGTCTTATCGGCCACATTTACAAATGTCTCTCGTTGTCCCCACATAATTCCCTATTAGAAGAGCTATTGGGAGCAGAACTAAATAAATATTCACAGCCTTTGTCATATCTTTGGGAAATGAATAAACAAACAGCCATCTAGCAAGGGAGCAAGCCTTCCCCCCGCTCTTGGTTTTACCCCCGTTTCTCACCCACACGAGGGGCTTCCACGGTCTCCCGTTCAACCCAGCAACAGTCGCAACACTGGGAGGCTGCGGTTTCATTTGCCCCTTACGACTTACCCCTCCATCTACGCGGCCTCGGTGCTTCTGCGTGCAGTTTTTAAAGACGAGCCTTCCCCACAGCCCTGGGAGGGGCGTGTTCTGTGCCGTGCCTACCTCCTAACAGAAGGGAATTACACCTCGGAGAAGTTAAATAGCTTGCCCAAGATAACAAAGTTAATGAGCAGCAGAGTGGGAATTCAAATCTAGATTTCCCTTGCTCCAAAGGCTCTGCCTTTTCACTTTGCCATGACGATTTCTCTACTAAATTAAAAAAAAAAAGGACACAATGTCAGATTAAGGGGAA